GTCTAGATCCGGGGAATTTCTCCCAATAGTATATTGGTTGCCGTTAAGCTCCTGCACTAAAAGAACTAATTATTAGGAATGCTAGGAATTGTATGAACTCGTAATTAGGGATAGGCCTTCTTGCAAGGTAATTTAGAGAGTGACATTAACAATGATGAAAAGAATGTTGAATTCCTAAAGTATATGAGAGTGGATAAGATGAAATTGATAACCCCAACAACATACTCATCCATATAATCCATTGAAGTGTTTGTATTTTGTTTTAGCCATTGATCACATTCATGCATACATGTTTTTTTCTGTTTTGCATATTAAACTTCACTTATTTCGTTCTTAAGTCTTAAATAATCAACAAATCACATAACTAAACTAGGACGTGAGTCCTTTGGGAGAAAGATACTTGGTCTTACCGAGTTTATTACTTGATACGATTCGGTCACACTTGCCGATTGTTCAACAAGTTTGTGGTGCCGTTTTTCGGTGTTCATAAATTTGTCATCAGGCACTACTATTATGGATCAACCTTCCAAGTCTTCAGTGATCACAAGAGTCTCAAGTACCTCTTTGATTAGAAAGAGTTGAATATGAGGCAAAGGAGGTGGCTTGAGTTCTTGAAGGATTATGACTTCGAACTACTCTACCATCCAGGGAAAGGGAACATTGTAGCGGACGCTTTGAGCAGAAAGGTAGTTCATGTCTCATCCATGATGGTCAAAGAATTACGGTTGGTGGAGAGTTTTAGAGATCTAAGGTGCAGTTCGACTTATAACCGAACAGTATCAGATGCTTCAACCTAAGAATATCCAGTAGCGTCTTTGACCAAATCAGAGAGAAGCAGTCAACGAATGAAGACTTGGTGAAAATTTTGAGCGCGCTCAGTACAGATCAAGCCAAATTCTTCAACATTGGAACGGACAGTCTCTTACGCTACAGAGATAGAACGTGTGTTCCTAACGATGGCGAGCTAAAGCGGATCATTCTTGAGGAAGGACATCATAGTTGTCTTAGCATGCATCTTGGCATGACTAAGATGTATCAAGACCTCAGGAAGTCTTTCTGGTGGCCGAGAATGAAGAGTGATGTCGCTCGTTTTGTGGCATCATGTTTAACTTGTCAACGGGCTAAGGTAGAGCATCAGAGACCGGGCGGCCTGCTATAGCAGTTGGAGATTCCTGAATGGAAGTGGGATAGCATTTCCATGGACTTCGTAACCCACTTACCTCGTACGGTCAAGAATCACGATTCTATCTAAGAGCGCTCACTTCTTAGTGGTCAACTTGAAGATGTCCATGACGAAGCTTGCACAACTCACATCAACGAGATCATTCGGTTGCATGGAGTTCAGTCCAGTATCATCTCTGATCGAGACACAAGATTTACGTCTCAGTTTTGGCAGTCCCTGTAAAGTGAATTGGGTAGCAAACTGCAGATGAGTTCAGCTTATCATCCTCAAACGGACGGTCAATCTGAGAGAACCATCCAGACGCTTGAAGACTTACTGAGGACGTGCGTCCTAGATCACGTGGGCGTATGGGATGAAGTCTTACCAGTAGTGGAGTTCACCTACAACAACAGCTTCCAATCCAGCATCGGAATGGCTCCATTTGAAGCTCTTTACGGGAGGAAGTGCCGAACGCCACTATGTTGGTTCCAGGAAGGAGAGAAGGTATTGATTGGACCTGAGCTCATTCAGCAGACGATCGAGAAGGTGAAGTTGATCCAAGAGAGGTTGAAGACGTCAAGGAGCCGACAGAAGTCGTATGCAGACAAGAGGAGAAGGCCATAGGAATTCAAAAAAGGAGAACAAGTCTTCCTTAGACTAAATCCAAACACTGGAGTAGGCAGAGCCGTTCGTCCCAAGAAGTTGTCTCCCAAGTTCGTTGGGCCTTATAAAATTTTAAGGAGAATTAGACCAGTTGCGTACGAGTTGTCCTTGCCTCCCCAACTGTCCAATCTTCATCCAGTCTTCCACGTTTCTCAACTCCGGAAGTACGTAGCTGACCCTTCTCATATACTAGAGTTAGAGGACGTTCGTCTTCGTCAAGACCGAACGCTAGAAATGCAACCAGTTCGTGTTGAAGACAGCCGCACCAAGTACTACAAGAGGAAAGCCATCCGATTGGTGAAAGTGGTCTGGGACGAGAAGACTGGCGGCTCTACATGGGAAGTGGAGGATGCCATGAGGGACTTGTATCCCCATCTGTTTGCGGGTAAGTTTTAATTTTCGAGGACGAAAATTTTTGTAGTTGGAGGGAATGTCAGACCTCATTAAAACGCACCCAAAAACCCCTCTGCGCGAAGGCCAAGTGTCAAGCAACGAGGATCAGAAATCAGATAGTGGAAGGCAGGTGTCGGTAGATGAGCGAACGCTCGTTTTGACGTGGGAAGAAAACTGATTTTCTAAAACTTCCGTCCCACTCTCTTCTGCATGCACCCTTCTTCCCAAACTCTGAAATTCTCATTTTTCTCCTCCTTCTCTCTAGAAGCTCTCCCTTCTCTCTACCAAAACTCACCCTTTCTCTTCTCCGATCACCGTTTAGGCACCGTAGGAGCACTCCCGGCGTCCCAAACTTCAAATTGAACCGAACAGTTTCGAGTTCTGAAACTGGTAAGTTCCTTATCCTTAGCCGTTTGTTTTCTGGTACATGCAAATCAAGTACCAGTTGCATGTTGTTATCTTGTCTGAACCACTTTTGGTTGTTTTGGCTGTTTGGTTAGTTTAAAGAGTTGTGGAACGTAAGGGTAGAAGGAAATCCAGTCAGGCGAAACATATTTTGTCTTTAAGACGTTCGTTCACGCTCCAAGGTAAGGGAAGCTTATTAATTTAATTTATATGATTATGTGTTGCATGAACGTTCGTTGATTTGATTGGATATGAAAAATGATTGTGCTAGGTTATGATGCATGAAATGTATGAAATTTCTATGTTTGGATGGTATGAGATATGAAAAATTGATTATTGTATGAATGTATAAAGGTGTGAAAGTATATGTTAAGAACTGAATTTGAATAATAATGATTCTGGTAAGAAATTCCCCTAAGAAAGTGTACGTACGTTACTGAACGGTCTTTGACCGATCGGTTTTCTAGTGAATTTGGATTTGTAGTGGATTCTTTCATTTGGGAAGAATCCTAGTCGAGGACGAGCGTCTACACTTCGAAATACTGTGCTTGAGCGTTCGGCCAAGCATAGTTATGTTTTGATATCCTGGTATAAATTTAAGTGTATATATATATATATATATATATATATATATATATA